TTATCAAGAACGTAGAACGGTGAGCCGAGGACTTCTTCGCATAGTTCAACTCTCCTATGCGGCAATTCTCCTATGGTTTCCATTGGGACCACATTACGAATTACTTCCAACTAACTTTACCTTCGAAATGGAGTCATACCAAAATAGTGATTTTAGATTGCCTTTACTTTTAATTTTAAAAAGATGTAATACCAAATCATCTGGACTATATTAAAAATTAGCATGGGACGAAGGACTAGGTATTCTCCGCAAGGCCTCTCCGGCTAAGTAACGAAGACAAGAAAACCAACATAAAGAGCTAAAGGAGACTGCGATCAAACCATCTTGATCTACGATATAAATTTTCCTATATCTACAAAGTGTTATTCGATTTCTTCAAAGGATAGCCAATCATACCAAAGCAATATTTACAACATTATTTTACAGATAACATCTGCCTAAAATTCTTGGTCGGGCCAGATTAATGAATTCATGAAAATAACTCTTGGCTAGCAGCCAGAGATAGACCTTGTTAAGAGCCAAAATTGCGACTGAAGCATGTGGTGCGGGATGAGTACAGGAAAAGTAGCGTTAATCCAAGAAAGCATAAACTTTCCGAAAAGTATAGGTTAAAAACATCTTCGGAGAAAGAAGAATCCCAGTTTCAACGTTAATTTATAAATACTAGCAAATTCGATTTAAGAAAGTGCAAATTGACTCTACAGTAGGAATTAAAATGATACCCCTATATGAAAATAAGCACCAAGTGCCACGGAAATTTATTTATTATAATACGGGTGGAATTCAAAGTCTATTATGGTATGTAGTCTTGGAATCTACTAAGTCAACGGTTCGGTGCTGGAAATCATCATGACTGTTATGGCAGAGGACTTAGAACTGGGTACGTTCCACAAGATCTACCTGTCACTCCAGCCAAGTTGCGAAAATCAACTCAAACCAACACTAGTATTGTATACCTTGAACTTGAGACTTATTCCAACCATTAAAATTTAGCTAATGAGATAAATAAAACCCTAAACCTCTTCATATAATAATGGCTGATTAAGAATGAAATATGAAATAACTAAAAGCCAGATGTGTATAATGTTAACATCTAAAGGATCTGCGGTTCACTAAAACCCGATCTATCAGAGTAACGTCAGGGTTTTTCTGAAGAGATCAATGATGAATAAAACATTTTAAAAAAAATTGCGTTTGTACGGCTTGGTGAGGTGACGATACAATAAGCAACATCTTCCCTATATATAGCTGAGACTCCATCTTCTCAACTTTCAAGCCAATTAAACTTTATAGATAGGGAATATCTAGTTTGAATATTATGCAAGTGGCGAAACAATACCAAAAAAGCACAGCTTTAGAATGGCAGCCTTGGAAACAACTTATTGACAAGAAAGGGTGTGGACAAAATAAATCCCAGATGCTTTTGGAGTTTTAAAAACATTTTAATTAAGCAACGAGATAGAGCGTTAGAAAACAATGGTTAGGGAAATCTTTTTAACCGTTGTCCCCGCAGTAATACATTGTGTTTGGTTAGAATGCACACTTTCAATATGATCTATTAATAATTATTTCCCAGGCCTCGGTCAAATGTTGCATAATAGTGCACAAACTCTAAAATATTACTATTAATATGATCTAATTTAAATGATTAATTTTAGCATGAACAGAAACCATTAGTTATGACTCTGAAGTAAGCAATTTCAGTAAAAACGAGTTTTCGCGAAAATAAAACAAGAACTTTCAGCTAACCTTGATAGTATTTTCAGAATCCACACAGAATATGGGAAGACGTTCACGCCCGATCCATTTAAAGAACTCCTTACACCAATTCTGAATTAGGTAAAGAAAAGTCATTATAATGAATAATCAAGGAGGGGTGAAAAGCAACTAACGTGAACAAGGCTGCCAGGAGTAAGAATAAGACATCTTCTGACGATGAAATCTTTACCATAGAGACTCTGATTTAGAAGGATCCAGATTGCCGAAATAGATTGAATGGTTTTTCCTAGTCCCATCTCGTCGCTAAAAAGAAGAATGCCTGATAAAGGAATTTGAAGATCTCACAAAGGCCAAAGATAAATATCAAATACCGACACAGCCTATAAGAATAAATAACCCAAATTGTTGATAGAGCAAGAGAGTAAATATTGAGAAATTAACGCATTTAACTAATCCACTATCAATCTCATATATTGAGCCAGTCAGACAACAAAACTATAAATCGCATCGAGATACAGCACTAAACAAGGTAAGGCATATGCTCAAAATCTAAGTAAGTGATATGACAGGTTTGAATGAGATATCACACCAAACGAAGCCCTAAAACCGAAAGTCGTGAGGCAATACCTTGGTTGCTGTCTTCATTCGTTAAATATAAATGATTTGATATCATTTTCGCGAATTGGCTGCTTTGCCAGAAAGGCCTATATGAACCTATCTTGTCCGATCAGACGCCGAACAAAGTACGTTCACCTAGGCCTCTCTGAAAACACGATCAGATTGTGAAAACGAGGTAAAACCACTTATTTGGAAAGGCTTTTACGTTACGCAGTAAGCCTATTGATAAGCATAGAGTGCGTCACAAATGTTTGTATATTTTCTAAGGATTATGAAGTTATAACAAATAGTTTAGCTCGAGTAAATGAACAAATGCTGTTAAAAATGATGTAAAATGCTAGAATCCTGATGTAAAATCAAGATTCAACTATCAGGAAAGGTAAATAAAAAGGAAATGAGGGGGAATAGTACTATTGCTTTCGAATTTTATTTCTATTAATAAACCCGATACGGGAACATACGCAAGAATAGCACCGTAAATATTAGAGAGTTGCCTCTGGGACTGGTCACTTTCCGATTTTTCTTCATCTAAACTAATATCAAGTAAAAACGAGCCTTTTCCTGAAGTTGAACGGAAGGATTCACTTCGAAAGCCCATAAGGCATTCATATAGGAAAATAACACCGGAACGCTGATGAGGATGTAGCTTCTTGGAAATACGACCGTCAAGCTTGACAATATTCACAGGCAAGCCTTTTGGGTTATGTATCCACTGAAAAAAATATTAACAAAATAAAAAGAGAGATAGCATTCATTGATATGGGTGAAATGAAGAGTCAAGAGGACTGGAGGAAGATA